TAGTGAGGAGGTTCCTGTCTATGGATCCTTAGCTACCGGTAGCAGGGACCCTGATCTTGCTGCCGATGGGGAACTGCATTTTTGTATTTTTAAATGTTATTTTTTTTAATGTTATACATTGTAAAAAAATATATTTAGAAATCTAATTTTGTATGTATTTTTAATGAAATAAAGGAAATAATAATATTTATTCAACAATAGTAAAATGATACATGAACATTAATATTACAATAAGCACCTTAAAAATAACATTTTGAAAACAGTGTGAGTCTCAAATTCCCAAACTAGGACATGTCCTGTATCTGGAGTCAGTGGCTCATCCCAGATAAGTGAACTCAATCTCAATAGCGTACATCTTAAGAACTTAATGTTATGAATTTAATGCAAATGAATCTGTTTTTTTTTTATGTTATGTTATAGGGGGTATACGAGCAGACGGCTCACCTGATGGTAAGTGATCACCATCGCCCATGTACACTTGCAACACCAGGAGTATCACAAATGCGATGCCGGCCTTTAAGGAAGGAGTACGCTCTTTTTTTGAAAGTTCTTGGGTCGTATTGGTCCAGAAACACTGCTGGCGACAACATATTCCACAGTTTTGTCGTACGTGGTAAAAAATTTCGACAAAAACGCACGGTTGTGGATAGCCACGCATCAAGATGATGGGGATGAAATTTTTGTCGCGATGTACGATGGCGAAATGCAGCAGCTGGAATTAATCCGAACAACTCCTCAGAACACTCCCCGTGATAAACGCGATAGAAGATGCAGAGCGAAGCTACATCCTTACGCAAAGCCAAAGGATCAAGCTGATCGGAAAGGTCTTGGTCGTCGACGATTCGAGCCGCTCGGCGCTGGATGCGATTCAAAGGGAGAAGCTGGTACTGGGGTGCCCCCGCCTAAAGATGAGAGCAGTACAAAGATGTGAGGCCGAACCTGTGCCTTATTAAGCTGCAGTCGGTGGGCCGGTGAGAAGTACATTCTCGATCTATTGAGCACACCAAGCTTCTTAGAGGCCAATTTGGCCTTGCCCTCTAAATGATCCCGAAACTGGACGTCGCTCGATATGTCAACGCCAAGAGTTCCAATACTAGCTGAGCAGTTAGAGGAGTGTTCTCAAAAAGAGGAGATACGACAAATGGTATTTTTTTTGCGGTGAACGCGCATACTTGTGTCTTCGAAGGGTTAAATTGGACTAGATTAAGATCTGTATGTGTTTGTGTGCGTGTGTGTGTGTGTGTGTGCGTGTGTGTGCGTTTGTGCGTGTGGGTGTGTGTTCATGCGCGTGGGTCCGTGTACAATAATAGGTAGTTTACCTAATAAGATCTTCAGTTTCCTCATAATTGTATTTTTGAAGTAGATCACTTACAGTTTTTTTTTACATTATGTATTGTCAATGAAAAAATGGGTCTTATTTTATGAATTTTATTATATAATTTTGTGCTGAGAGCGTTATATTGTTTACTAGCCCATGCTGTGCGACACATGATCTGGGAACAAACAGGAGCACAGTGACGTCTTGATGATGTGTCGAGCTCCAGAGGCAGGGAAGAGTGTTTGCGTAGAAGCATACGAAGGATGGATAGCTGCCTAACTGTAAGAACCTCGCACTCCGAATACAGTTTCGCCGTTTGATATGTCCTACGTTTATACAATAAAACCTTAAGGACTGCTCGCTCCAGTTCGTTCCAGTTTCAACAAGAAAGTTTTATTAGCCCCTCCCCACACAGAGATACAATAGGACAATATTGACTGGCACAATCCAAAGTAAACCGTAAAAAGCGTTGACCGTTCAGCCCAGTGGCGCAGATTTTTAAAGATGTAAATGAGTCTCCGGATTCGTCCTGTAAGGGCTTCAATTTGGACATGCCAGTCAAGCCTGTCATCGAGATGGACACCCAGATACTTAAGGCTTCTTACAGTATAAAGTGGTTTGCAGCGACATGAGTTTAAGTCTGTATTCCGAGAATGGTGCAATTAAATATCGGCTGGGGGCATGTTTACTTGAGATTTTGCAATGGCGAATTTTAGAACCTGGGTTTTTTCGAAGTTTAGTGTGAGAAGGTTGATGGATAGCCATTCCTTGACCAAACCAAGAGCATTCTCCGCGTTATGCAGAATGCGTTCTGCATTCTTAGCAGAGACCCAACTATCACCATAAACGAGAAGTGCCGTATCATCGGCATAGGAAAAGATGTTGCAATTTTCAAGAGATAGACGGCAAAGCTGATCCATATATATGAGAAATAGCGTCGGACCCAGAATACTGCCCTGCGGCACACCATAGCATATTGATACCTGATCGCTGACAAAACTACCTATTTTCACACATTGTGAGCGGCTAGTAAGAAAGCTACTAAGTATTTGCAGGCCAGGACCCCGAATTCCAATACGATCCAACTTGTCGAGAAGAATTGGGATGGAGACGGTGTCAAAAGCCTTGGACAGGTCAAGGAAGACACCATAACATTTAAGCCTTTTGTCCATTTTAGTAACAAGTGCTTCAACAAGGCTTAAGACCGCGTCTTCCGTGGATAAACTGCTTCGAAAACGAAATTGATTATTAGATAATATTTTATATTTATTCAGGTACGAAACCAGTGAATTATTAAGATACCTCTCCAACACTTTAGAAAGAGCTGAAAGAACAGAGATGGGTCTATAATTGGTGACGCAATCTCTACTCCCGGCCTTGTGGATAGGATGGACTATAGCCCTTTTAAAAGAGCTGGGAAAGACACCGTTTTCTATACAACGATTGAAAATATGGGTAAGTGGAGCGGCTAGAGTAGAAGAAGACTGTTTAATTACCCGAGCTGGAATACCGTCACATCCCGTTGCGCAATCACTTCGTAGGCTGAGAATGAGCTTTTCTACCTCTGCCTCCGCAACAGGGAGGATCTCGAAGGAATTACTAATTGGGTAAGTATGTACGGAGTAATTTACTCCGTTGCGGAGACGGCGAGGATAATATTCTCTTAACAAGATCACTACCCAAGTTTGCAAAATAGTCATTAACGAAATTCACAGATGAGTGACTGTCACCTGCAATATTCAAAAGTTCTTCTGGGGGCCTGTGAATTCGTTTACTGTTCGTTATTGTTTTGATAACATTCCACAATTCATTTGGATTATTTTTTGCTCTTTCAAATTCTAGCTTCTCATACTCCTGTTTTACTTTTTTTAAAATGGCGTTACAGAAATTGCGATAGTAATAATATAATAATAACAATAGTTTATTTTTCCACAAAGATAATGATTACATAGCTTATTATTATGCGATATCTATAATAAGTCGTTTTTAAGATTACATTGTCAGGGAAGCACTTTAATTTGAGGTGCATAGAGTCGCGATTTCGCACACAGCGAAGCAAACCAGGAGTGATCCACGGTTTTAAGATTTTGTTTCTTCGTGACACTTTAATAATTGTTTTATTTTTTTCAATAACAGATTTAAGGCAAGCTATAAAGGTATCTGTGGCTACTTCGGGATTTGATTGTTCGAGTATCGGTGTGAAGTTTGTTACATCCATCTCTATTTTAATCGTTTCAAAATTATATTTAATTGCAATAGTATTTTTTACTTTGAAGTTCACGGTTTTTTTTACTTTTAGAGACAATACAATAGGATAATGATCCGTGATCTCAGTTTGAACGACATCCACTGTAGCAACGTGGTCCGTCTTCACAAAAAAATGATCCAAGGAATTTTCCAGTCTTGTTGGAAGAAGATGCGCTGGCTATAGGCCCAGGGAGGACATAAAGGTAAGGTATTCATTACTATGACGATTGTTATTATTTTCCATAATGTCCACGTTTATGTCACCTGTCAGCACAATATTTTTAAAGTTTAGAGGAGAAATAGTATTGTCCAAACTATCTAAAAATTTGTCAAGATTATTGTATGATGGAGATCGATAAACCGCAACAATGGCAGTATTGCCAATGCAACACAGCAGGCAATTCCCCTCCTGAAAGGCAGGCTCACTAACTGCACATTTCAGATCTTCTTTGATATATAAAACAACACCGTCATTTTGAAGAGGATTTATACAGGTTGAGTAGACAGTATAGCCATCATGGCAAGGAAGTTGGCTAGCCACTCTAAGCCAACATTCGGACAATACAATGATATCGTATTTTATTTTTGTCATGGCCACTGTTACGATGAAGTTATTGAATTTTTTTTGAATACTTCTTATATTTGCGTGAATTATTTTTAGTGAAGAGTCATTAGGGATATAATTATTACAATTTTCTGGGGTGCAGTAATATGATTGTCCAACTTGTATGTCATCAATCTCGGATATATATTTACTAAATTAGTCATTTTTATTATTTATAACAAACATGCAAGCGACACAGTAAAAAACTATGTCCACTAAAGAAATGGGTTGGACTTCGTAGGGTTTGTTTTTTATTACTATATTCGCGCATCAGTGAAGCACTCGTGTAAAACTGGATGGCGTGTGATATCTTTGAGAGGAAAATTCTGAGGGGATGCTGGTTGAGTTATATGATAGAGAATCGAACAATAGAATTAATTGAATATAAGAAGTAAGTGGATGGTGTTTTACCATCCACTTACTATCATATTGTTATATATTATATATCGTCATATTGTTTTATATGACGATTAATATTATTTCAATATGACCCATGAAGGTTTGTAGTGTGATTGTGTATATGTCGATATTATGATGAATGTGAGTATACTTGAAAGGAAATTGAGATAGTGTATAGATTATAGAATGGTTTTTGTGTGTGTGTATTATACTATATCTAGCATTGAAATTTGATTCACTGTGGTATAAGTGAGCTATTAAGACATTAATTTATTTAAAACTGTAATATTTAATTAAAACTGTTTTAACATGGATAAACTTAGAGTTCGAATCTCTGCGAAGGAGCCATTAGAGCCACTCTGCCATTAGAAGTCCAACAATATTTAAAATCATGTTTTTTAGCAAATTCTCGAGCAAGAAAAAGTAACTTACGAACAGAATATGGCAGATGCTCATCCACATAGACTGGTCGCTTGTCGTCGACCATACCAAAGTGTTCACAACTAAATCTCGATGAGTTCGAACGGTCCTTATTGAAGCGTCGTGATGAAGCAAGTAAATTATTTTTAACTTGAACAGAGTTGAATTCAGTCACAATCGCTTTAACTGTTCCAGGTTTTCCAGGGCGCCTATAAATATCACTAATGTCATTGTCTTGGATGGTAATATCCAGAGTGGTACCAAGTTTTTTTACTAAGGATATTAGTTCACCTTCTGATTCTTTGTCTTTTTCAGGAACATTTCGTATTTCAATAGACGAAGGCCTAGAGAGTTGGTGTAATTCCTCAAACTGTTTCTGCAACCCAGTCATAAAAGCTCTATTTTCGCGTTTTTCAGTCTCCAATGTAGCAATTTTTTCTTTGAATTCTTCATGTTGGGCATTCATGAATGAAATTGAGTTTTCGATATCAGAATTTGACTTTTGTATTTCAGCACATTGGGACTTGAGGTACGCTATATCCGTCACAAGTTTAGATAGTGTTTCATCTTGTTCAGCTTTCCAAGCGCGAAGCATCACCATCAAGTCGTTTTTAAATTCCTGCAATACACCTTGGTCGTCAAATTTTGTTTGGGGAGACCCTTCGACTCGAAGACGCTTTGATCTAATTGGTATTTTACGTGTTTCCACAACCTTATCAACAGCAGATGAGTCCGATTCCGATTGTGCCCTTGGAGGAGACGCAGGTGGTGTGCGTTGTACTTTAGGCATTTTGTTGCTAACACGGCGGTCGTTAGTCGCGATATGATTGCTGGAACTGGCCGGTACCGTTGGTGACGTATACTGGATCGCGATCAAAAGAAAGCACCAGAGGAAGGAGCAGAGAGAGGATACAGCACCGGTTACAATTATCAGCTCTTTACCTCAAAACCAGTAGTAGACAACTGTATGTGACAACACTATGATCGTGTCAAATTCAAAAATCCAGCTGTCAGATGAAGCTGACAGAGAACAATATGATTTCCGAGGGTATACAAATCACAAGTTATTGTGCATCATTGCCAAAAGGGGGGTAGAAAAACAGCCACTTATCTTGATTAATTCCTCTTATTCTAGCTGCGGAACAATCTTGTCTACACTGTTGGAGATAAATCCAATGTCGAACTTCACTTTGCAATGAGTTTTTGTACAAAACAGCTGATAATTTCAAAAGTTTTAAATTTATTATGCAGTGAGATGGACGCTTAGTTAGGGCAGGGTTGCCAGGTCATCCGGTGACGTAAGCTGTTAGAAGGCTTTTAGACCTGCTACATGACTGACACTGATCCTGATACTCGACACACCTCGTGATGATCAACTCTCTTCGTGACACTCGATACACTTCGTGATAACTTCTCTTATCAACACTTCTCGTGCGACTCGAAACTACTTGTACACTCGACACAACTCCCGACACTCAACACTCCTCCTGACACTCAGCACTCGTCGTGATACTTGACACTCCTCGTAACACTCGACATCCCCATTACCAGGTGGCATACCTCCTGAAACTTGACACTCACCGTGAGACTCGGCACACCTCGTTTCACTTCACACATTCGAAACTCCCCGTGACACTCGACACTCCTCGTGACATCGACACACTACGTGATACTCTACACTCTTCGTGACACCTCGTCATAGCTGACACTCCTTGTGACCTGGTTTATAAAAGATTAATTTGTACATACAGATAGCACAAATATGAATTAATTTGGAACTCTGGTTCGCTGACTGCTGGCCAGAAACTTACTATCGCAGATCACGTTATCATTAGCGGCAAGCACTGGCGGTTACGTGGCGGCGTCAACGCGCACGTCACCAGTCCACGCCCTTTAATCTGTGGCTGGCAATCCACCAAGCACACAGTTGACGATGACCCGTGGATTTCTCACTGATTTCCGTGTAACATCTACGGTTTGAAGTTGGACGTAACATTATCAAAATGATTATCAAAAGTATGAAAAAATACAAGGTAATATACGCCTACTATCACACAGGCCGTAGTTCTTTTACTATTGTTTAAAAAAATGTCTGATATTATTCCACCAGTGCTAGTAGGTTTAATGCTAACGGCTGCATATAACTACAGTTGGATATAATTCAGATCTAAACAAAAAATTTGAACATTAATTAAGCTTTTCAACATTCCTTATATTCAAGCAGCTTCATGATGCAGCGGTTCGAGTGATTATTGTAATGGTTAAGCAACTTTTGCAATGTGTACGTCATAAAATGAGTCACGAAGTTTTACTATTTCGAGATCATCCGAGCTTCGGAAGGCACACCCACATAACCCACATGCAGACCGAGTGAAACGTGATGAACTACTGTCGACTATTTGAGCTTTGGAGCGCGTATGGGATTATCAGTATAGCTATTATAAACTATCAGTAATGCCGAAATTACAATTGATCGTTAGCCGAAAGTCGTCATCGAAAACAAAACGAAAGTCATTAATCGAAATCGAGCGCCCGAAGCAATATTTACACTCGAATACGAGCTGAAAGACGGTGTCATGTAAACAAAAGGAAATCTATTCGAATATGCAATGGGCATACTCGACTCCGTTCATTTACACTTAGTTGTTTACTCGAATTCTATTGGCACTCGTGTTCGGGCTAACGACTAAGTGTATTAGCGATTAGTCAAAAATTGTTCAATTTTACGACTTGAATCCCAAATCTGATAGAAAAAAAACAATATCGTATAGAAAACGCCACGGGACGTTTTAGTCTATTCCTGAAAAGTGCAAATATAATAAAGAGCGAGCGGAGCGGTCGGGATCCGTCTCATTATCTGGTTCGTCTCAATTTTTCCCACCATTAGTCATCTGTGGCTTAATCTTAACTGAATTTCGCACCCCACCCGCTTCATATTTAAGACTTTCCCCATGAAAACCTTATTTCATTTTAATTAGCATAAAAATGATATTTATTAAAAAATAATCAGTTCCAACTGGAAGCGATAAATGGAAAAAAACTCCACTAGTGGAGATATGCCAGTAGGGAGGGATATATGGAACAGGGGAATCAATCTACTTTTATAAAAAAAGCTGTTTAAATTTGTATCAATGAAGCCCTTTTATACGATACCCCATTTAAGACTCTGTTTGATTAAATTAAAAATATCGCTTTTAGGATATTGCTTTTCTGCAGAAATTAGTAAAAGTTAGATAAATTACTGAAAGACCCTTACAATTATAACCTCGTTGATTATAACAAATGCATTGTTTTCAAATTTTTTGATTTCTTTCTAATAAATACCCAACGGTAAACATTGATTCGGAGTTCTGTTTTGAATAAAGCAATCGTTGGTTGATCACAACATATTCTCAATACCACTAGATTAATATTACTATATTAACAGGTTTCAGACAGAATCAAATGGATTTCTGGCAACTTACTCCCTTGTACGTAGTAATATAAATAAACATAAATAACTTACAATAAATATTGACACCGATAATAATAATATATTACATTACAGTAACATATTCGTATTGGTCTACGAGTGATTATCCAGTAGAATCCGAAAAATAAATATATATAACATATTAAGACCACAATAAATTGATTAAATTAAAATAAACCGTTTTTTACTTTTCAACAATCGAAATTCAACACCAACTCAAATATTTGAATACTATAAAAGGTCACCCAAAATACGAAAACATGATGAAATGACGCGTAAGCGGACTGAAAGCCGCTTAACAGAAGAAGAGCACAAAAAAATGACAATAAAAATAATATTCTGTTCAATAAAATAGCAAAATGATGAAGCTGCTTATCTATATAAGCTATAACAAGGTTTGTGCTATCACGGCAAAAACATCGCCATTCCTTCCCCATCCCTCTCTTCAGGGCACAACACTGGCGCTACAGAGCAACATCACCATGCTCGGTATCGAAGTTCGCTCAGACCTGAATCCAAAGGACTACATCGAAACGGTGATCAAAATAGCTTCACACGAACTCGGAGTCTTCAACAAGGTGCAGCTTTTTTTCACGCCTGATCAACTGTGCTTATTGTACAAAATGCAAGTGCGGTCCTGCGTGGATTATTGCCCGCACCTCAGGGATAGCTCCAATAAGTCGATGCCTTGGATAGGTTGCAGCGGCGCGTTGCCCGCATCATTGGCGATGAAGAGGTAACTAACAAAATCGAGTCTCTTTAATTACGTCGATGTGGCATCATTAAGCGCATTCTACCGACTACACCACGGCGTGTGTTCTGAGGAGTTATTCTCCTTTATCCCTCCATTACCTTTTCTTCAGAGGACCACGCGCGCTGGACTACGTTGTCACCGAAATACTGTGTAAACTATTCTTACACGAACAAAGAAATTTGATGACTCATTTCTTTGTCGTACTATTCGCAAGTGGAATTCTTTGCCCGCGCACTCCTTCCTACAATCTGGGGTCCTTTAAGAGAGGCGTGAAGAAGCATTTTTGCAGGCCGGCAAGGTGAGGATGGTTGGCAGTTTATAACTGCTGTACAGCAGGTGGGATAGAGTAATTTGCCTACCTAGCTATAAAAGAAAAAAAACCAAATAAGAACCCTGTAAGGACACGCCAAAGGAGATTGGTCAAATTGGCCTAAATGCAAATAAAATATTGACATATACAGTAATTCTTGGCCTAATTTATACTTTATTTTACAGTCATTAGATTTTAACGGCCACCTTTAAATAATATATTAATTTTAAAAAAGGACTTCTATTTTTACCGGTTTGGAAAACATACGAATCATTTTTATTGGCTTGTAGTAACATTCACAAAGACTGATCGAGGTTGTTTATATAACATCAAAACAAATCTATTTTGTAAAGATTGATAAAATATTTCGATGATATTTTAATTCAAAATGTAGATGAAATGTAATATTAAACGCAAGATAAAAGTACTTAAGTTGTTTTATTTCATTAATTTACCTTATCAGAATATTTAAGCTATGTCAGGAATATACATATTTCACACATTGATCAGAACTATCACGAACCTACGCAATATATTATTACATTAGAATTACCTTTTACCATTATAAACCGAATTATTACTAAGAAAATATCCTATTGGTTTTTATAAAATTATGATAACAGTTCCATGTTTCTCATAACATAGGTAAGCAGGTACCAGTTCCTTGACATGCATTTTGTTAGTGTAATTAGTGTTAGACACTTGTCAAATGAAACAAGATTGCTTCTGAAAGTCGCAATGGCATAATCATGATTTTAAAACTTACTCTTGTGCATTAATTTTAAAAACAGGCAATTATCTGTTATTTTACATGCTCTATATACCTGAATCTAATACATAATATCGGTACTTGGCTTGACTGCCCTATTTTCCTATATAAGTTACTAGTTGTGCCCCGCGGTGTTACCCGTGGTTTGTTAGGAATATTTTCTCGCAGTAAAACGTAGCCTATGTGTTAATCCAGGGTGTCAGCTAACTCCATACCAGATTTTATTAAAATCGCTCCAGCCGTTTAGACGTGAAGAAGTAACAAACATACACACTCACAAACTTTCGCCTTTATAATATTAGTGTGATTTGGTTTTTATTATTCTAATACCTATGTGCCTATTTGCAAACATAACCTCAAAATCATTCAGTGTATATGGTTTATAGAAGTTCTCAGGAGTGGCCGTCGATAATATTCGTTTCTACGGTAATTTATATATAATTTCGAATCTAGGAAACAATTTTTCATGGTTATTGGTTTTTAGGCCAAACATGTATGGAAGCTGAGCAATCTCCTTTACAGATGTTGACATTATTATTACAAATCAATATGTTATACCAAATTAAACCACATTTCATATTAAAATTATTAATTAATTAATAGTATCATTTCAATATTTTATATTTCAGTCACTTCATTTTTCAGATATAAGCATACAATGTAGTCCTTTTATCGTACAGGCAACATTATGCACATTTTTAGAGAAGTTACTTCGATTTTTATTTGCGAAATACCCACCGAGCCTAGGCGGTCGGTGCATTCCGGTGAACTTTCATTCTTTTTTCGTGCGCGGCAACTAGCACATAGCTCTCAACAAAAAGTTACAATATTTCTAGGTATTTCAAATTCATCATGCCTAAGCGTAAGGCTGATAAGATTGAATATTATAAAAACAAAATCAAAAAGTTGCAAAATGAGTCTCAAAATAGACACCGTCGTGTCATTGAGTATTCATCGTCTTCTTTGTCGGACTCTGAAGCAAATCAATGTATGCACAATAAAGTTAAAGTTACTTATGTGTAGTTTTAAAGACTTACCTACATACTAAGGTACTGTAAATTACGTTACGTGCGTTGTATATAACAACGCTTAGTTTGTACGAAGCTATAATGACAAAGAAGATGTTATAATTATGTTTAAAAGTGCTTTAATGTTAGTTGTGAATAAAGGAGAACATGTTAACCACATCCATAAGCTTATTGCTTCGTATCTATTACGAAGATTAAACGTGATGATTTAAAACCTCATAAGTTGAGAATATTTCAACGCGAGGCTACGATATAAAAATCATATTAACTTAGGATATACTTATAATTTATTGCAAGTAGTAATATTTTTTCAAACGTAAAGATAATTTTAAATTTATATTATATATATATATATATATATACCTATTAAAAAAAATAGAAAACTAGCTATCATAATTATAGCCTATATTCTATCCTTGTAGATGTCGGAACGTCACAAAATGAAGTAATGCATAATACTACCCATACGGTAATCGCCGCACGTACGGAGGACCTTGCGGAGGTGCTCACATCCGAAGTACATCCTTCTGAGCAGCCATTGGAGGTTCCAGAACTAGACGTGGATCTCTTACTCGCTCTGGAGGACGCTACTGACGAGCAACCCGGTTTTGGAGAAAATATTCATCAATTCCTTGCCCAACGATGGCTCCCCATTTTGAAAAAAGAGTTAGCAAAAGAGGTCAAGGAAAAACTTCTCAAAGAATATTTAATACCGGAAAATTGTAACTTACTTAAAGCCCCGACATTAAATGCCGAGATTTCGGCAGCAGTTGTAGATGTTGTCCCAAACCGGGACAAGAACATATTAATAAAACAATACCAGCTCGGACAAGGTATTGCTACTATCAGTAAAGCGATTACTTTGCTTCTCTTAGGAGATGACAAAGTACAAGCTATTAAGGTGCTCACAGATGGATGTCGAATTCTCACGAATTTACATTATGATGAGACACAAGTTAGAAATCAACCAACAAAGGAAGGGCCAACAATTAAAGAAATCTATTGCATCTTTTAAGACAACCACTACAAAATCTACATCAAGACCTCTCAGTACCAGGGAAACTGGATGGGCCCTCCTCGCTACACATCATCGAGCAGAGGGGGGCGGATGTCGACGGGCTCAGCAGCCACATCGGTACCGTACTTCCACCGACCATCGCCGATGACACAGGCGCGCCCTTCGACTTCCAGGGGCCGACCACGTGCGACCAAACAATAACACAGGTACACGCGGGCAGACTCCAGTATTTTTATAAATGTTGGCAAACTATTACTAATAATAGACTAATATTGAAATGGATACGTGACGGTTACACGATACAACTTTTACAAAAAGTAACACAAAATATAATACCCTCTAACAATTTTTCAATAGGGGAAAAATAGGATATGATGTTAGCAATACAGAATCTTTTAAATTTAGGAGCCATTTCAGAATGCAAACCTCACAAAAATCAATTTATTTCTACTATTTTTTGACCTCAAAATCTAACGGTGGTAAGCGATTTATACTGAATTTGACACCCTTTAATAGGTTCGTTGAAAAAAAAACATTTTAAAACGGAGAATTTTAGAACTGCTTCAAAAATTATTGAACAAAATTGTTTTATGGCTACCATAGATTTAAAAGAGTCTTATCTATTAATTCCAATTAATCATTTACAGCGAAAATTACTAAGATTTCAATTTGAAAATGACGTTAGAGGTAATATATTGTACGAATTTAACGCAATTCTATATGCGTTGCCTTCCGCATCCAGAACTTCGACTAAAATTATGAAAGAAGTGATGCTCATCTCAGGAGGCGCGGATTTTTATCTGTAATATATTTAGATGGCATTTTGTGCATCGGTTTTACTTATGAAGATTGTTTAGTTAATGTCCAAGAAACTTTGAAATTAATAAAATGCTTAGGATTTGTTATTAATTTTGAAAAAAGCATCATAGTACCTAATAGGGAACGTACATTTCTGGGTTTTGTTTATAATTCCATAAAAATGACTATGTCTTTACCTAACAAAAAGCATAATAACATTGCGCTTCTTACAAAGAAGTATTCTTGCCTACCACTTTTTGTACTAAGGGAATTTGCACACTTTATTGGTTACCTGACCGCAGCTTGTCTAGCAATAAGATATGGTTGGTTATACCAAACGTTTAGAGAGACAATTTCTTGCACTTAAAAAGTTACAAAATTATGACGCTAAATTTCGGCCGTCTGCTGATATTTTACCCGATTTACAATGGCGGGCTATAAACGTTTTAACATCGGAAACTCAAATTAAGTCTGTAATATACGATATGGAGATTTTTACCGATGCATCTAGATCTGGATGGGGTGCCTTTTCTAATGATGAACGAGTAAATGGAAAATGGACAATAAACGAAACGGAAAACCATATAAATTATTTAGAAGTAATGGCGGTATTTTTTGGGCTTAAGTGTTTTGCAAAAGATAAATTCAACTGCATAATTCTATTACGCGTTGATAACACAACGGCCTTAAGTTACATAAACAGAATGGGAGGTATACAATACCCTCATTTAAATAATTTAACTCTCAACATTTGGCAGTGGTGTGTGTAGACTATAAACTCACTTTATTTTAATAAAACCACTACTTTAACCGAAACTATGTATTTTCCAACGAACTGACAACTAACAACAACGTAACTAGAGTGACGACGACATTGAGGAGTCTTTAATGCTTTGTCTATACCATGGAGGATGGTTATATAAAATATATCATGTAAACGTAAGTTAAATATAATCTTTAAGATATTTAAATAAATAGAAATTTAACATAAAATAAATCAACTCCAACATCCTCCGCCGCCAAGGATATGCTTATCCTTGTGATTCTCAAACCTCAATCAGGAAGTCTGCACAGTTTAGAGACTGATCGTTGAACAATGCCTGTAGCGGTGCGAATATCCTACATTCGAGTTAGATCATCTGAACCAGTATACTTCTTTACAATACGCCCAAGACGCCAACATACAGGTCTTGGTCTTGGGTCTTTAATTAATACCAAATCGTTTATCTCAAAGTCCTTTTGAGGACGCATCCATTTCGGTCGTTGCTGTAACCGAGACAAATATTCCGTCTGCCACTTTGTCCAAAAATCACGTACCATTCTTTGCGTCAGTTGCCACCTTTTCAAATTAGACATGTTTTCATTGTGATAATGCTTTTCAGATACTGTTACTTTTGGTTCTCCAATCAAAAAATATGCAAGTGTAATATATTCAAGGTCATCATTTAAAGGCGTCAAGGGTCGTGAATTAAGACAAGCCTCCACTTGTGTCAAAACTGTATATAATTCCTCGAAGGTAAGCGTGGCATCTCCAAGTATTCTCTTCAGATGATATTTTACCGACTTAACGCCAGCCTCCCATAATACACCAAAGTTGGGGCCCCTGGGGGTATGTATTTCCAAACTGTACCCCTGCCATCCAATAAAACTCTTAATTCCTCGGGTAGTTCATCTTTGCCTTGTTTCCACATCTCAAACACAGTTTTTTCCGCAGATATAAAGGTTGTGCCGTGATCACTCCATAACTCAAACATTGTCCTCTCCGTGCAACGAATCGTTTAAAGCAAGCAATGAAGGCCTCTGTGGTCATGTCACTTACCAATTCTAGGTGTATAGCCTTTGTAGACATGCAAATGAACAAACATATATAAGACTTATATGCCTTGGTGCCTCGCCCTTTACTCAATCTGCACAGGATGGGACCGGCGAAATCTACTCCACTTATAGAAAATGGACGTGACGGATTAACCCGAACATTTGGTAAGTTACCCATCAATTGATTACTGTTTGTAGCATTCTATCTAGCGCATTTCTTACATTGTCGATAAAATCTTTTTATTGTTTGACCATCATTAATAATCCAGTATTTATTTTGCAGGTATGCAGTCATTGGTCGAGGACCTCCGTGCAGCGTTGCTTTATGCGCGTCATCCAACAAAAGTGTAACTAGTGGACAATCTTTGTTAAGTATTGGATATTTTCTTTCATATTTCAGGTTTGCATGTTTTAAGCGCCCACCAACTCTCAGGACCTCATTCTCATCCAGGTAAGGATATAGTGGTAGTAACCGACTGTTTCTCTTAATATTTCTATTTTTTCTCAAACAATCTTTTTCTTCTGCAAAATCTATCTCTTGGGTTAAATAGCCCAAGAGATAGATATATATACATGATATAAGCGCATCTTCTTTCATTAGTATCAATGGTTTTATGCAATATTTTTTCCTTTTTCAGTTTTCTCAACCATCGACGACAAGTAAGCTATAACATTTAATAGTTTTTTAAGCGATGAATACTACCTCATTAGTATAAGTTTATCATTTTCGTTCTCTTTAATAACATTGGTAAGTATACATTTTACATTTGCTCTTTTCTCTATCTCTGTATCAGGAATAATTTCTTTACTCATCTTAAAATCTGAATGTAGCCGTAAAAATTCTGGAACATGCCACCATAAATCACATTCTTTGAGTTTGCTAGGCAAAATTCCTTTTGATGCTGGATCTGCTGGATTCTCTTTGCTTTTAATATAAAGCCACTGTGACTCTAAATTATTTCTTATTTCAATGACTCTATTTTTAACGAATGGTGACCATCTATTCGGATCGCCCTTTATCCATGCTAAAACCACTTTAGAATCTGTCCAAGAAAATGTTTTTCTATAACTTACTGCAAGTACTCCACCAACATGCTTTAACAGCTTACTCAACAACGTGGCTGCACACAATTCAAGTCTTGGTAGAGACACTTGCTTGACAGGCGCCACCTTCGTTTTAGATATGATTAAACTGACTCTTATAATCTCTGCCATGTTTGTTCAGTACTCTGATATAGACTACGGCAGCGTAGCCCACTTGAGATGCGTCTGAGAAGCCGTGTAACTCTATCTCAGCTTCTGTACTACATCCTGTCCATCTTGGAATTTGTATACCTTCGAGCACAGGTAAGTCTTCTTTATATTTAAACCATTCTTTTTTCAGGTCATCAGAAAGTTTTTCATCCCAGTCAATCTTTCTGAGCCATAACTTTTGGCGAAGTACGCTTCGCTTGGTAAGTCGTTGACAATTTTCGTGTTTCAGATATTTCTGTGCTATTTTCAAGACATCTTCTACTGGATTCCATAAAATACCTAATGTCTTTATACACTCTTTGTTATTGAATTCCGATTCCATACATTTAGCTCTATATTCAGGATCTATTGACATCATGAATTCTTGACTATTAGATGATATCTTCTGCATCTCAAATCCTCCATTTTTTAACATCTGTGAAAGTTGGTGTTGTGCCTCTTTTGCAGACTTCACATCCTCAAAACTAGATAATACATCGTACATGTAAAAATCTTTACATACTAATTTCGATGCTATTGGATACTGCTCACCTTCATCTTTAGCTAGCTGTCTTAATGTTTTTATTGCTAAGTAAGGAGCAGAGGCAGTGCCAAAAGTGACAGTAAGTAATTTATATGTTTTTACATCTTCATTAAGATCAAATCTATATATTCTTTGATAGTTAGTGTCCTTTTCAAAAACTCGTATCTGGCGATACCTTTTTACGAGATCTCCGATAAAACAAATTTTATAAGTCCTCCATCTCATTATGATATCTCGTAACTCTTCTTGCAAATTAGGACCTATCAACAACTCATCATTAAGTGATACTCCATTACTACCTCGACATGAAGCATCAAATACTACTCGCACCTTCGAAGTTTGTTTATCTTCCCTCACGACCGCGTGATGCGGTAAGTAGACTGTATCTTCCTCATTATTACATGTTACTAACTCCATATGATTAAAGGTTATATATTCTCGAAGTACCTTATCATATTCTCTCTTTAAATTCTTATTTGTACTCAATCTTTTCTCTAAGCACTTTAATCTTCTCATTGCTATGGCTTTCGAATTCTCAGGTAAGATTGGTACATCTTTTGCAAATGGTAAGGCGACAGTATATCTACCTTCTTTATCTCTTGCTACC